GTATCTTCTAATTCATTCTCCCGATTTTCTCCAGCTACTATATTTTCTTTTCCCTGAGAGTAATTTACTGGCTCAATTTCACTCGTTTCAAAATCTTGATTTGATCCTTCTTGATAAACTTGAGGAAAGGATTCTATACAGATCTTTCCTTTTGCTCACGTTATACACTCAATCGGATCACTCATATCCTTTATATCAATTCTACCTACCGTATTTCTCTTTATCATTTCCTTCATGCAGCTAAAATTAAATTGACCATATCGATTATGCCATTTTATTGCCTTCTCGTTAGCTCTTGAAACATTATGAAACTTATTTTGTGTTCTCCGTTCATATATGTTCAAACCGTTCTTCTTAAACGCGGTTATTGCACACTTGCACTGGTCATCCCAAATCTTGACTGAATTCCTCTCAAAAATTACTCTTGCACCATTGTCTGTTGCTTTAGCTACCGACATAAAATTATGAGGGATGGATGTAACGTGCAGAACATTCTTAAATGCTACGTTTATTTCTCGTAGAAATACGTCACCACGGCCTAAAGCTTTTACATTAGTATTGTTCGGCAATATAACAACTTCTTCACATTCTGTATATTTTGTAAATTAATCACGCACACAGCATAAATGGCTAGTCGCTCTGCTATCAATGCACCAATCATTTTCACCATTATTCTCATTTTTGCTATTGGCTCCCATTAACTGTGTCATAAGGCAGGAACTTCTTTCACCTTTCTTTGGTTGCGTACACTTAGCTGCAAAATGTTCGGCTGACCACATTTCTTGACGAATTCTTTCTTATCGGTCTTCTTGTACGTTTTCAGTTTTCTAAACTGTTTTTCTCTCATTTTCATAAGCGTTTCACCTCTTTGGTCATCATTTGCACATTTTTCTGCTTCACCTTGTCTTACTGCTTCTTCCAATAACTTCACCTTTAAGGAAGTGATTTTAGACAGCTCGTCGCGAGTCTCTTTTGCGATTTTCATAATTCGTTAGCAAACTTGATAGCAGCATTATAACCAAAATCTCATCTGGGCAACTAAACCTCAACTTCATTCAGATTATCAAAAATTGTCCTAAACTCATTTAGATGATTCACCATCTTATCATTAACATTATCTTCCTTTGGTTGATGCGTCTCTTTCAACATCATCCACGCCTGCTCCGCCGATTTGCAATCCTCTAAATGAAGAATTTGATTTGCCTTTACATAAAAGCAATATCAATGTCAACACCTTTTCATTCCTGATTTCAAAAACGGCTGCTCCTTCGGGTTTTATTTCTCCTCCACATGCAATTCCCCTTAAATCCGAATGGATTAGGAAACATTTCATTTGAACACTCCATAATTGCCATCGTTCAATTTCTCAACTTGCAGATTCATCTTCACTTGTGTTCACGCTTTTTCGGGGTTTTTCCAATTGTTTCTTCAATTATCAATTCACACAGAATTTTTCTTTTTCCATAGCCTGAACGTCGATGTGTTTTCATGGTAATACAGCACTTCAGGTATAGAGCCACATTTCCCCCTATGATTTATTGACTTCCATAGTCAGGTCTATAATTCTAGATAGACCTTCCCCATGGTTAAAAACCCGTCGTTCATAAGTTATGAAGTCGGGTGATATATTGATGGATATCATAATAGAGAGGTAGTCTGACCCCAGCGATATAACGGTTTCTAGGGAAGGATAACCCGGAGACAATTTCTCGACTTGCAGATTCATCATCTCTTGCTTTCACGCTTTTTCGGGGGTTTTCCCATTGTTTCTTCAATTATCAATTCACACAGAATTTTTCAAGTAATTTTTTTAATATAACCCGAAAAATGAACCTATATTTTTGTAATTATTAGTGGTCGAAAAACGCGATTAAGAATTCCAAAATATCGAAAATTGTGAGGTATTGTTATATGACCTTTATTTATAATTTTTAATGGAGAAATTGGGTATCCAATATGAACGCAAAGTGCCAAATTTCAACAAAATCGGTACAAATACGCGCTTAAGAACCCCAAAATGTCCAAACCATTAGGGGGGGCGAGTACCCTTAAAAGGGACCGATATAGCTCATCTTTGAACTTGACATGCCTGCAGACTAAAGACAACTCTATGCCAAATTTTGCTGATATATCTCAATTCATTTAGATACTAGAGTGATTACAAGAGACAGACGGACAGATGGATGCTTATATCGTCACCGAATTTTACGCTTATCAAGAATATATATACTTTTAGGGTCGGAAATAATTATTTCGATGAGTTACAATAAACTCAATATGTCCTCCATGCCTCGGTTCTGAATTATTTGTTGAATTTGTTCATTATACCCTTCACCACACTCTGGTACAGGGTATTATGTGTTTGTGCATATGTTTTAAACACGCAAAGGGAATCGAGATAGACCCATGGTTCCTTTTGAGAATATGCATAGAATCATTTTCTGAGTCGATTTATGCATGTCCGCCCCCCCTGTATTTTTGTGAAGAAAATTCAGGTCGCATTTATGATCCGATTTGGATGAAATTTGGCACAGGTCACTTAATTGGCCCAAGGACGAACTCTAATGAAATTGGAGAAAATCGGTTCAGATTTAGATATAGCTCTCATATATAGTTTCGTCCAATTTTATGTAATTGGTGCACCATACTGCCAATATTGATTCGATTGAGGCAAAATTTTGCACAGAGTACAGAATTAGGTCTAGATTGATATGTGCCAAGTTTTGTTGAAATCGGTTCAGATTTAGATATAGCTCCTATACATAGTTTCGTCCGATTTTTGGTAAATGGTGCACCACTTACTTACTTATTTAGCTGGCTTGTTACAGAACAGTTGTTCCATAAGCCGAGCTTAGAAAAGATTTCCAAGCGCGTCGGTCTTGTGCGCAAGTCCACCAATTTGGAAGACCACGTTCCAAGATGTTGTTTTCTACTTGGTCTTTCCATCTAAATCGCGGCCTTCCCCTTCTACGGGAACCATCAGTAGGCTCATTTTTATATGCCTTTTGAGCTGGGGCATTTTCATTCATCCGCACAACATGGCCTAGCCACCGTAGTCGCTGCGGCTCAATACGACTGAGTATGTCGATGTCCGCGTATAAATTGTAAAGCTCGTGGTTCATTCGACGCCGATATTCACCGTCGACGCAGATTGGCCCGTAGATCTTTCGGAGAATTTTTCTCTCAAACACCCCAAGAGCTGCCTCATCTGCTTGCGCAAGTACCCATGTTTCTGATCCATATAATAGCACGGGTAGTATCAGCGTCTTGTAATGTGTGAGTTTGGTCTGGCAGGAGGTTGCCTTGTTTCTAAACTGCTTACTTAGACCATAGTAGCATCTGTTGGCCATCACTATCCTTCTCCGAATTTCAAAACTGATGTCATTCGTTTTATTTATGGCGGTACCAAGGTATATAAAGTCTTTAACTACCTCGAAGCTGTAGTTCTCAAGTTCCACAGTTGATCCGAGTCTACTGGACGTCTTGCGCGTTGATACCATCAGCTTGGTCTTCTCGCCGGTTACTGCCAGACCCACTTTGGCAGACTCCTTTTCAATTTGTTCAAAGGTGGATGTTACCGCTCGCAATGTTCGACCCATTATATCGATGTCATCGGCGTAGGCGAGTAACATGTGTTGTTTGGTGTACAGGATGTAGTAGGTAGTAGGATGTTAAATCACACGACATACTGTCACCTTGTCTGAATCCTCGTTCGGTATTGAAGGGCTCCGATAGGTCCTTTCCTACTTTAACTGCTGACCTTGTGCCACTTAAAGTTATCCTGCATAGCCGTATTAATTTTGCAGGAATGCCGAACGCAGACATGGCTTTAAACACCTCTGAACGGATAGGGCTGTCGAATGCGGCTTTATAGTCGACAGATATGTGGTAAGTGTCGATGTGTTTTTTGTGAGTCTTTTCCAGGATTTGGCGCAGAGTGAAAATCTGGTCAATGGTGGATTTGCCAGGTCTAAAGCCGCATTGGTATGGTCTGATAATGTCATTGGCTTCAATCGTTTACACAGCACACTGGATAGCACTTTATATGCGATGGGAAAGAGACTTATTCCTCTATACTTGGCACATGTCGTCTTGTCTCTTTTTGTGCACGAGACACAGGATGATGAGGTTCCAATCATTGGGCATGCATTCATCTAGCCAAATTGTGCTAATCAGCTGGTGCATGCTCCTGACCAGCATCTGGCCACCAGTCTTGAATAGTTCGGCTGGTAACCCTTCGGCTCCTGCTGGTGCACCAAACTCCCAATATTTGTCCGATCAAGAAAAAATTTTGCACAACGAAATGAAATAGGTCTAACTTGATGTCTGTTGATGTTTGTTGGAATCGGTTCAGATTTAGATATAGCTCCCATATATAGTTTAGTCCGATTTTATGGTGCACCAAACTCCCAAACTTACTGGTTTTTTAAATGCCCACCTTGGATTTATTTATTTATTTATTTTTTTTTTGTTTCGATAACGAATCCACTGTACTCAACCACGTCGCCGTTATGCAGACAACCAATAGTTCATACTAGGTTAATTATATTCGCTTAATAAGACTCATACTGATAATCTGCCTCGACAAGTTTTTAAAAAAAGTTCAATTTATAAATAAATAAAAAATATGTAAAATAGTAGTGTTGCAGTACATCTGCTGCAGAGTGGGTTGATTGATCGCTTAAATTAATACATAAAAACAATGAAAATTACAATATTAAATTGCGAACTACGTGAGGGTAGTAGTTAACAAATAATTGAATAAATTACAAATAATGACCTATATTAATTGAATTACAAAGTGAACAATCAGTTGTACTGAAAAAAAAAAAATAAAAATAAAAAACATTTATAAATACAAAGTTCAGAAATGAAAGGAGTTACGGAATAGTTATTAAGTTTTTTATAAAATATAAAAAATTACAACAACAATTGTATTACGTATAAAATAAATAGTTGTTTTACTATCATTATTTCGTCGCCCCTTTCACTTGCTAAAAATGTCAAAAATACAACCTTTGCCTGAAAATTTACAAAAAGTAGCAATTGAAGAACTGGGAGAAGTGCCCTCAAGACTCTACGATGATTTACAGGCTTTGGAGCTATGGATTCAACAGCAACCACATTTAAGGGCTCGAACGGATCATCAATTGTTAGTGCAATTCTTGAGAGGCTGTAAATTTAGCCTTCAACGGGCCAAGGAGAAATTGGAGAGCTATTATAGCCTAAAATCAAAATATCCTGAGCTACTAAATCCCACAGATGTTGATGCACCACAGCTAAGGAATTTATTTCAAATGGGGTAAATATATATCAAATATTTATACCCTTCACCACACTGTGGTACAGGGTATTATGTCTTTGTGCATATGTTTGTAACAGGCAAAAATAATCGAGATAGACCCATGGTTCCTTTTGAGAATATGCATAGAATCACTTTCTGAGTCGATTTATGCATGTCCGTCCGTCCGTCTGTCTGTCCATGTTAAATTGTAAACAAAGTACAGGTCGCATTTATGATCCGAATTGGATGAAATTTGGCATAGGTCTCTTATTCGGCCCAAGGACGAACCCTATTGAAATTGGGAAAAATCGGTTCAGATTTAGATATAGCTCCCATATATATATTTAACCGATTTAATGTAAACACGAAAATTGGTACAGCCTAATCATTTAGGTCTAGAATGATGTCTGCCAAGTTTCGTGAAAATCGGTCCAGATTTGGATATAGCTCCCATATATAGTTTCGTCCGATTTCATGTAAATCGCGCACCAAAGTCCCTATATATCCTTCGATTTGCACGAAATTTGGCATAACGTACTGAATTGAGCCTAAAATTATGTCTGCCAAGTTTCGTTAAAATCGGTCCAGATTTAGATATAGCTCCCATATATAGTTTCGTCCGATTTCATGTAAATGGTGCACCAAAGTCCCTAGATATCCTTCGATTTGTACGAAGTTTGGCATAACGTACTGAACTGAGGCTAGAGTAATGTCTGCCAAGTTTCGAGAAAATCGGTCCAGATTTAGATATAGCTCCCATATATAGTTTCGTCCGATTTCATGTAAATGGTGCACCAAACTCCCTAGATATCCTTCGATTTGTACGAAATTTGGCATAACGTACTGAATTGAGGCTAGAGTCATGTCTGCCAAGTTTCGTGAAAATCGGTCCAGATTTAGATATAGCTCCCATATATAGTTTCGTCCGATTTCATGTAAATGGTGCACCAAAGTTCCTAGATATCCTTCGATTTGTACGAAATTTGGCACAGCGTACTGAATTAAGCCTAGAATTATGTGTGTTAAGTTTCGTAAAAATCGGTTCAGATTAAGATACAGCTCTTATACATAGTTTCGTCCAATTTTATGTAAATGGTACACAAAAGTCTCTACATATCTTTTGATTTACACTAAATTTTTCATAGTGTACTGAGTTGAGTCTTGAATGACGTGTGTTATGTTGCGAGTGAATCGGTTCCGATTTTATGTAAATGGTCCACTAAAGTCCTTATATATCTTTCGGTTTGCACGAAATTTGGCACAGTGTTATGAATTAGGTGGTTTATGTTTCCTAAAATCGTTGAAATCGGTTCAGATTTAGATATAGCTTCTATTTAGTATAGGTTGCAATTTCATTTTAGTGGTCCATTAAAAATGTGACGTCTGTTAGGATTCATCTGTTGAATATACCCAAAGTTGTGAAGGGTATCATATAGTCGGCCCCGTCCGACTTTACTACTTTCCTTACTGGTTATATTTGACTTTTGGACTTTTTTCTATAATTTATATTTTTTATTCCTTCTTTGTAGTTGCATTGTCCCCCTGCCCAGACCCTTGAATGATTGTGGAACACGAATTATGCTCTATCGTTATAATTACCCTGTGGATAAATTCTCCATTCAAGATGTAATTTTACTCGATGTACTTCTACATGATATTTTACTAATCGATGACCCGTATGCCTGCATTTATGGTGTTATATATTTGGTGGACTTATCCAGTTTTTCGGCGGGACACATATTACAATTTTCTCCTAGTGTCCTTAAAAAATCACTAACCTATATGGAAAACTCTTTGCCACTGCGTGTCAAAGCAATGGGTCTGATTAATATGCCCACCTTTGCAGAACAATTTTGTAATTTATTTATATCGTTTTTATCGAAGAAATTGAGAGAGAGGGTTGGTTAAGATCCTAGATATTTCAGTAACAATTTAAAAATGTTGTTTTGTTTGCAGGTTTTCTTTTGCAGCAAAAAGCTGGAACATCTGAGCGATAAAATTCCCTTGAAATATTTACCCGTGGATTATGGTGGTGAAAATGGTCGACTGGAAGAGATATGTTCGGATTATACAAAAATATGGAATAAATATCGTCTATACTTTGAGGAAAATTTGCAATATGGTGTTGATGAACATTTGCGTCCTGCCAAGTCCATAAATGATGGCATGTATGGTATGGGTGGAACATTTAGGAAAATCGATGTGGACTAATGGAAATAAAATTATAAAATACCCAAACATACCACATATAGCTATAGAAAACTCCTATCTTATTCTAGTGCACAAATATTCAACAAGAATAATCTCTTATTTCAAGTGGACTGTAAACGAAAAAATATCCCTGTTTAAATAAAAATTCTCTCCTTTGCACAAGAGACCCACACCAAGACATTCAATATCTTTATTATATGAAAATAATGTTTGCTACGTGAACATAATATATAAACCATTCCAAAATATTGAAATTATAAAATACAAGAAAATTAATTTAAAAAATCAAAAAACAGCTAGATGATCGCATGTATATACCACCGGCATCTTTCCAACAAGCTTCTCATGTTGGCACCTCCATCTTTGTCTGCCGGCTTCATCTTCTTCTTCCAGCCTGCCCCATTGGTAATAGTTTTCCAACTGGCTTTTCCGCAGGTTTGTCCTCTCGCTCCATCTTTAAGACTGGGCCATGAATTCCCTTCTCCAGCTTCTCACCGGCCACATCTTCGATTAGCTGCTCGGTACGTTTTGCCTTCATCTTCCATGGCGGGACATCCACAAACCTCTTCATCGCGGCAGTATAATCACTCTTTCTTGGCAGTTCAGAATTTAATTCCTTCGACGTCCTTATTTACACCAAAATTTTCCTGTGATTGGTCGGCATTTTTGTCCACGGGCTTAATTTTCCCGGCCGCAGTTTCAGGATTTATAGCCGGAATTTTCCTGACAGGAACGTCCGTAATTAACGGACTTTGCTTACAGAACCAATCATAGGGATACGTAGTTGAGCGTAAAAGTCGACTTTTAGACTTTTCGATTTTTGCCACTGACCAAAAAGTCGATTTTTAGACTTTTGCCTTTGACTAAAAAGTCGACTTTTCGATTTTGTCAATCCTGATTGATATTCGACTTTTACCGACTAATGCAAAATCTCCTAAAAATTTATTTTTTATATAAATTTTTGATAACAGATAAAATAGAGTTCTGGAATATGTAATTTTTGGCCAAATTTGGCTTCATGATAATAAACTAAGTATTTATGAAGAAAATCAAAAGTCGATCTTGAAAAGTCGACTTTGCGATTTTCTCTAAGATCAAAAGTCGACTTCGACTTTTAGACTTTTCAGTACAAAAAGTCGATTAGTCGAAAGTCGATTTACTAATCCCTAACCAATCATATGTTGTTTTCGGTTCATCGCCATTGTCCGCCGGTTTCATCTTCATAACGGCAACACAATTATCCACTAGCGGATCAAACTTCTTCAATAAGAACACAATGCCGTATCATATTGATCATTTTCTTATTTAATTTTTTCAGAATATCTATATTCTCTGGATATACAAATACGAAGCCACCCGCCTATTAAAATTCTCCACCAAACACTCCAACAAATTCAAATTTCTGGTTATTAACTTATACAAAGTTTAAAAGAAGCTTTCTCTCTAACTGAATTCGGTCGATGCCGTGTCTCTGTCTGGTTCATCTTCTAGGGCAAGGGACTCCATAGCCTCCCAACTTTTATCTAAGCGGGTATATTCAGAATGAAAGCTTTCTCGATAAAATGTCTCACCGTCGCCGTCTTTTTCCTTGCCGCAACCACCATCAGACTTTTATGGATTTCTGATTTTTTTTATTTCTTCCACCAAGCTGACAGAATTTCCTAGATCTTCAGCATATATTTCTCCATTATCGGTCAATGATCCGGCGCGAAACCAATATTCAACAGGGTTCTATATAGTTACACGACCGGCTAATGACTTGAGAAATTTGGTGCTGCTCCTGACCGTACCGCAGATCGATTGTGACATACACGGACCTATCGAACTATCGAAAGAAGGGATGGGAAACCAAAAAGTTACAGATTAAACAATTACGGATTAATGAATATTTTCGTATTAAAAAGTAAAAATTCTTATAATCAAAAAAATAAAAGTACTATTTTCTCAAAAAAAAATGGAAATATTTCATTAATATCAAAACTATTTTTTTATATTTCGCACTTTTTTACAACTATTTACGCTCATTTTTCCTCTCTCTCTCTCTCTCTCTCTCTCTCTCTCAGTCACTGTTACCGACCTCTGCATTGGTGTTATAAAATTCGCATATGATATTTATACCCTTCACCACACTGTGGTACAGGGTATTATGTCTTTGTGCATATGTTTGTAACAGGCAAAAATAATCGAGATAGACCCATGGTTCCTTTTGAGAATATGCATAGAATCACTTTCTGAGTCGATTTATGCATGTCCGTCCGTCTGTCCATGTTAAATTGTAAACAAAGTACAGGTCGCATTTATGATCCGAATTGGATGAAATTTGGCACAGCTCGTTTGTTTGGCCCAAGGACGAACCCTATTGAAATTGGAAAAATCGATTCGAGATTTAGATATAGCTCCCATATATAGTTTCACCCGATTTAAGGTAAATGGGGTACCAAAGTCGCTATATATCTTTCGATTTGCACGAAATTTGGTATAGGGTACTGAATTAAGTCTAGAATGATATGTGCTAAGTTTCGTGAAAATCGGTTCAGATTTAGATATAGCTCCCATATATATTTTCGTCCGATTTAAGGTATATGGGGTACCAAAGACCCTATATATCTCGATTTGCACGAAATTTGGTATAGCCTACTGAATTAGGTCTAGAATGGT